GCATCTTCCATATACACCTGTCAATTTGTTACTCAAGAAAGAGTCAGAATTTTGTCATCATTTCCTATAACAAGGACAGTGATACACAACATCTAATTGTGTAGAACAATACTCTCAAATGAGGCTTAAACTGCTTTTTCTTATGGTTTCTACAGTTAAACTAGACAAGCATGAACTATGTTGTAACCTCACTTGATGAGCAAATGGTAACATTCTCTGTAACAGATCTGTATACTCCTGTTCCAACAATCTAACTGCATTGCAACTGTCAAAATAATGCTGTCAATCCATGTGAAGTCCCCATTGGAACCTCAGATAATGTCTCACAGACAAAGTTCATCTTCTGATGTTGGAGACATTTTTTTTTTTTATAGTATTCAGCTTTGGAACTCTTCCATGATGCAAAATTTGACAACAACTGTGAAAAACACGAGTCTACTGCCATCAGCCCCCCACCTACATCTACACAGTTTGTGATCATAGTGGAAATGAATGTCTTATATAACATACTTTATTCATAAACAGTAATATTCATGCACATTTTAGCTGATCAATGTGTAATTCAACTCTTGATTTAACAAAAATATCATTATCAAAGCAGTTAGATCTTGCAGAGCAGTTACATCTTATTAGTATCACCTGAAAATCCTTGATGCTTGATGTCTCATAATGACCTGTATTTTCTCATGCTGACAACTTTACATGATCAATCAATCAAGATTGCATTACAATGACAATGTATCATATTTTAATGGGTGGGTACTTATTTTGTGATATATGTGAAAAACAAAAGTTCTATCATCTAATGGTTAAATATTTTTACTATTTGTTAAAGCAAGATTATGCAAAAATGTTTGCATTTGCACAGTGATGGTTTGGTTCTGTTAGATGTTTTACAGCACAACCCATTCTTGAAGGTTATAAGGGTTCCCATGCCCTACTCATCTTTAAGGATGTCTGGAATCCAACTGGAATTTGAATTAAATGAAAATATCCTGGAAACTTGTATGTAAATTACCTTTTTCATAAAATTTCCAGAAATTAAATATTAAAAAGCTAAACTAAGAATTGCTTAGAGAAAATACATCATTTATCCACTGCAACTTTGCAGTAAAACATTTTGCAATAATTGTCACATTATGTTGGTTGCTATGGTTGAATCTGATAACTACAAGATTTTTGCACACATGTCCTCAACTGCAGTATTGTGTCTTTAATCAAGTAAAATATCAGACTTTAAAAATGACTCTTGAGATTTGTCATTTTCTTCTTAAAATCTAGAAAATAAAAATCATTTTAGTGCAGGAACTCTGGTTATACATAGTTCTAAGGCAAGTAAATTGCATTGCCCACGAAAACACCATGGTAACCAATTTGGGCTGATGGAGTAGTGGGATTCAATCATGCATTACTCTAGTTATAAGTCTAATACTTTTATCAATGCATCACAGTCAGTTCCAAAGTTGATGACACATTTTTTTGTACCTTGCATGCTTAAGATTATTACATGTGCATTGTATGAATCTGAAATAGTTGTTTTGTATATGTTACAAAAAAGATAATCATAGTTATTGATTTTGTTACTAAGACTATATATATATATATATATATATATATATATATATATATATATATATATATATATATATATATATATATATATAAAAAGATCATTTTAATAAAAAGTGATTCTGTTCTGTTTTATTTGCATCCATTTGGCAATATGCTATGATCCTATTTGCATGTCAGTCTGTTAACTGCTCCTGTTTGCAGAATAACTATAGTTGTACAGCACCTACCTTCACAGGTAAGTTCTTCTTGACAAACAAAAGAAACTCTTTGATTTCAGGTTGTTGTTGTTGTTGTAGGGTTTAACGCCATTTTTCAGCACAAGATAGGCTATACATGGTGGCCTTTATTAATGGTGGCAGAAGAACCCTGGAAAACCCTGGGAAGAACCACCAACCCACGAGAAGCTACTGGCAGGCTTTCTCACTTACCCAAGTTAGCAGAGTCTGGACTCTGCAGACAGAGGTGTGATGGTAGTGATCAGTAATGGTCAGTGCTTTAAACCACTTGGCCACTCAGGGCCTCTTTGATTTCAGGTAAAAAGGTCAATGTTACTATGAATAAAAGAGGCTTGCCACAATAACATTAGTTCTTCTTTACAGACCTAGATCAAGCTTTGTGGATAACATGCACTTTGGGGAAAAGTCAGATGATTGGGGTGCAAGGTTTCAGTAGTTCATAGGTCAAGTTACTTGTTAAATGAAGAAAAATTGTTCTGTGCAAAAATTTCAGATTTAATGTACCTTCACCAGATTTTGTGGATGACAAACATTTGAGTTTGTCCAAAGATTGAGGTCACTGAGATTAATAAAAAAAAATTTTTTGCATGATAGCTCTAGTTATTGACCATGTATTTTGACAAGTGTTTGAGAAGGTCTTTGCACTTAAAATACAGAGGAGGCCTTTTAATTTTGGGATCAAATGCTCAAAGGACGGGGTTGGGATTCTCCAAGAAAACGGGTTTTGCAGAATAAAGTTTGCTTTAGAGCAAGTACCTTGAGAAACTTTGTGGATGGCTTGCACATAGGGTAATAAAGAGACCTATAGATTATGATGTAAAGGTCAGAGGTCATAGTATTTATAAGCCCAGTATCAAACAAAAAGGTTTCTGTACTGTAAATTTAGTTTAAGACTGCATACCTTAACCAAAAATAAAGGTCATTAAGACTTAGACATCTCCAGAGTTAAATATACTCCTCAGTTATTTACACAGATGTCCACTAAACATGGGGCCTAATGTTTTCTGTATATGGATCCCTGGGTGGGCAAGTGGTCTAAAGAACTTGCCATTACTCATCACTGCCATTTTCACCTGTGCCCAGGTGGGTTCAGGTTTCAGGCTTGGCCAATATGAATATGTGAGAAAGCTTGAAAGCTCTACCATTTACACTGACTGTGATGAAGACTTACCAAAAATGTTTTAACAGCTACCTCGCTTGGTGCTCAGTGTGAAGAGGTTATTGTTAGGACTGGTCGGCCTGGTTTCGAGATAAAGTGACTATGTGCGACATCATGCTACATGTCTGTGGTGTGATGCCCCATTGCTAGACATCACTATAACTGTTACACTGCAGACATCATAGTGTTATGACTGAACAATTGTTAAAGCTACATTGAAAATCCAAATCACACACACTGTGTCATATAAACTTTAGTGTGCTGAAAAATGGCGTTAATCCCAAAATAACAACAATATTATGTGTGTAATTCTTTACTGAGAGAGAGAGCAGATTTATATTATTATTTATCTTTATTATTATTATTATTATTATTATTATTATTATTATTAAAATATTATCCATCATATTCTATGGAGATAAATGTAGTTACCCCTATACATCTGTAATGTCTCGTGTCTTATCCTGTCCATTACATATTTAATTTTTACTCTATCTCTCTTTTTAATAATTTAATGAAATTTGTTATCAGAATTAAAAAAATTCAGATGAATTCATCACTGTGCCATTATATATGGCCACCATCAAAGAAACCTGACATTTTTTTAAGCAACTCAATAGCTGCTCTGCAGAATTTGAAAACAATCTTGTGAAAGCCTTTCAGATTTGTTTAGATGATAGCATCCTGCCATCAGATATGTCTGCCGTCACTGATAAATGACCTAATTAGTATGGCCTACATATCAGTGAAATATTACACCAATGTAAACTTATCTCCAAAGATATTTCGATTTTACAAATTACTATAACCAAGATAGTTGTCTTAAAGGCATAATGAATATAGAGCATCTCTTGCAGAGATAATCAGTGTCATCCAAGAGCTATGAAATGAAGTTTATAGATATTTCACACACATTGATACAACAATTCACAATGGATTTTTGTGGATTTTTCTTTAACAATATGGATTTTTGATGATTTTGGAAGTGTTTAGGAGAAAGAAACATTTGAATAATTTGTTGATTACAAGCTAAAAATTCAAAATATAAACTTTACAAAATATCGAGTAATAACATTGAAAGCATAAATTACCATCATATAATGCACATTATATGTAATAAGTAAACAGTGACAAATTTTTAGGCAAATGAACAAGCATAAATACTAGCAGCTTTCAAACTTGTCAAACATCAAACAAGCTATCAAGTATTTAAAAACATTGATTGTGGTTAGATATATAGTTCTCTCTTGATACATTTATAAATTGAGACATGGCTTTTACAGAAAATGTTCTTAATGAAGCAAAATTATCGGAAAAAAGATTACATGCAAAAAAATAATTATAATCGTTCATAAAAAATTCTGATACTTAATTACAACATTGCATCTAGTTTGTTAGACTAGCAAGACTTCTATTGTATACATTTTATTTGGTTATAAATTGTAGTCTCTGAGGTAAATTTCTCTTTGCTAATTGCTATGACTTGTTCAACTGAAAATCATTCCTTTTGTGCTCTGCGTTTAAAATTTTTGTTTAAAAAAATTGCTTTGCACAAGTTTTGTTGCAAAGAGAAGAACTCTGCATAATCCAAAGTTTCTTAGTCAACCTGGGTTATTTCCCTTCGTTCTTTCAGATGTCTTGCATAAAACTGTTTATAAGAGGAAAATCACTATTAAGGTTACAATTCGAGAACCATTTCTAACCAATGTAACTCACTGGCCATCTTGAGGAGTAGTGTACATACAAAATAAAAATGTATATAAAAATTTACTCAAAATCTGATAAAAGTAAGTTACTAGAGTGGTGACAAGTTGAGCCAGTAGGATATATGATGACTGCGGTAATATGCATTGGTCTCGCTCACTATGGAGCTAGTTCAGGGTCCAGAGGATATAAACCTGTATTCCAAGTTTGGTTTTATAAAATACAATTATCAGAAATTTGGCCTTGAGCCGATTAGATGCAAGATCACGTGTGGATCGTATTTATCCAAGCGCTGCATGATTTAAGAGTTTTTTTTCCCCAAGTTAACCGCTCCGGTAGCCTAGTAGCTAGAGCATCCGCATCAAATGCGGGAGATCGTGGGTTCGATCCCCAGCCGAGTCATACCAAAGACTTACAAAAATGGTACTAACAGCTGCCTCGCTTGGTGCTCAGCATTAAGAGGTTAGTGTTAAGACTAGTCGGCCTGGTGTCACGATAATATGACTGGGTGGGACTTCATGCTACATGTCTGCGGCATGTTCCCCCAGTGTTTGACATCACTATAAACTGCGACACTGCAAACATCGTAGTGATTTGCCTGAAACATTGTTAAAGCTACGTTACAAAATCCAAATCGAGATTTTCCTATGTTTGATTTCAAGCAGATTAGAAATATAAGTTCCATTGAGATCACCCTATAGATGAAAGTTGAATAATATAGATATAACTGTATCTCGCACATTATCAACAAACTTTTCTGAGGTCTTGGTGATCTAAGTATGTTTTCCAAATTTGATCAGTTATATCAGAAATATGCCCGCCAAAATAGTGAGAGGATCAGCGAATTAGAAACAAGATCACCTTGATAAAATGTAGACATCGCTAGAAATCTTGGTGATATGAGCCGTTTTAAGGGATAGGCACGCGAGGCACGTTCCTAGGACCCCGCGGCTGTGTTAGCATTTTAGTACTATATTAATAAATTTAACAAAATGACACATATGTACATGGAAATGCATTGCAATACTGTATAATTGAGACAGAGATTGAAGCGCAATTCTGGTTACAATGTACTTTTAAAGTTAGAGTTTGTGCCTATGGCCCCCAAAAGTCTTTCAATGGCTGTTTATTCTAAGTCTGGGCGCCAAAGCGTTAGCAAGAAAATGTTGACGTACAGACTATGAACATATCATTAGCCATCTTGTCCTTACAGTCAGGTAAACTAAAATGTATACCACTTGAAATTATTGATTCTTAAATACCACTAGACATACTTGACCAATTCAACAGAAACAAACCGTCATCGTGTATGAAAGCCTTAAATTTCTGTGCAAATAATGGTTTATAACCGAGTATGGCTGCTTTTACTAAGCCTGAAGAACTCGTCTTAAATTGACTCTTCCAAAGTCGATTAGAATTCGAGTTAAATTTCCATAATTTTTTTATATGAATGATGCCAGTTGGCCATACAATACAGCTGTCCTTGCTAAAACATGAAAAACCTTGAAAATAACTTCTATAATGAAAGCAGAATTTCACCAGATTAGATAGAAAACATCCTGTTATGGAAGATTTGAAATATTGTCCATTCAGTTGCTGATCTGTCATTTAACACTGCAGCCATTAAAAACATTATGTCATCTACTGAAATCTCAAATTCCATTGGACAGTTTGGCCAAATTAATTGGCCGAAATATTTTTTTAATTCTATACAAATGATGTCAAGCGATCAAATATGACCGCCGTTAATATCCACGGGAAAATTTCCGAAACTTTCAACATGAATACCGTTAATTAATAGCACAGTACGCCCGCGACATGTTTCATAAATTTATGTGTAGAAGACAATGTTTTGTACAGAAACCTCTATCTTCTTGCAGTCAGTAACTTCGACCATTGATCTTTTAACCTTTTGCTTTTATTGGCGACAGTGTCAATGACTGTAAAGTCAATATTCTTCTTCTTGATCACAAGTGCAATCCATTTACAACGTTTGTTCCATGTATGATATGTAGAACTAATGTTAGTGCGCATAAACCACTTGTCTTCTTTCGATCATAATTACCTCGAACTTCGATGTTGTAACCACAAAATCTATTATCTTTTCCTTTTCCCATGTGCAATCCATGCACAGAGTTTGGTAACTGTAAATAGTGGGTAATTCTAGTCCTTTTGAAGAGACCATCTTTCTTTCCAATTACATTTACCTTGACCACTGGCCCCATGATCCAAAGTTCTACCACGTCCCGGATTCAAGATATACACTTAGTTTGTTAACTGATGATGGGCAAATCAAATTAATGCGAGAAAACGAAAAGTCAGACGGACACCACAGCATAAAATGCCATATGACGAGAATGTTAAAATCGCTGAACAGAATTTCACCATATCCCACATGTTGCATGGGCGTGACTGGATAAGCTGGCAAATTTACCTACTAATATCGTGTAAAATCACCAGGTCCTATTAATGTTTCAACACCAAATGAGTTGTGCCAGGCCGACCTCATGTTTCTGCCTTATGACTAGGCTTTGCAATATATGTACAAGCATGGGCTGACTGGTTAAAAAGAGGCCTGGCCCTCGGCTACAAAGAATTCATTCTAAATACACGACTTTCTGACACGAATCTAAGTGACCTAACACAGGAGTCTGCAGTTTTATAAATATAGCATGACGAAATTTCTGACATGATATCACTTTAACGTTGTTATCAAATAAGTCTTATTTTATAATACCGTTAAGGTGATTTCATGTTGTCAAAAGTTTTGTCGTGCTTTATTGATAAAACTGCAGACTCATGTGGACCTAATAAGCAGCAAGTTAGCTTCGGTTGGGTGTTTATAGGCCCCATGTCCCAACTTTTGACCAAGCTTGTGAGGCGGGTCGAGACCGGGGACCACAGTGGAACAATCTCAACAAACAAAGAACTAGATCAACAGTAGATGGTGTTTGTGTTGATGTTATTATTCCGATTGCCATTTTGCCGCTAAGATGAAGATATGTAAAAGTCAGAAAGAATTGTTTTGTCCACCATCGTTAATTTTTCAGCCAGTCACCATTTAGTACAAGTATGCAGATTCGCTGACTTTTTTGGCATGATAATTATCTTGCGTTCTTTCATAATGGTAATCGAGACGTTTGCTGAGCTTAGATTGGTTCTCGGCCTGCCCTGCATGATGTCTTCCATAGCTTTGTCGTGACGGGCGTTTTCGGTGTCGGCATCTTTTGGATTTGAAACGAAAACTAGGTAACTTGAGCTGGTGAACATGAAGGCGTAAACAGTTGTGCTGCCGACTATAAGAGAGACTATTGCCATTGATAGGTCGCGGAAGATTCTAAGCCTGCGAGGAACTCATTGAAAAATCTTGCTGAAAATTCATATTGTGAGGTTTCCTATTCTTTGTCATTTAAACAGCCCAGAAAACAAACCCTATCTTCCAATCGGAATGACATGCATATTGTTAGCACGCCTCTGGGATGGCAGATACTAATGGTATGCCATACACGTGTTTTGCTTTTCGTCACTAACGGCTCTCCCATACACGTCTGTTTAAACGCATCGTGTTAAACAATCCGGATCTTATTGGTTACAAACTTCTACTGTGGTACTGTGCAACTTCCGTAACACTTGGTATATAAGGAACGTGTGACCGATACAATTTCGGTAAGTTGTGCGATACCTGATATTTTGGGGACAAAAACAGAGTTGTCATAACTAAACGTGTATAGCCAGCAATAAACAATATATTTTGCACCTTTCTAGTCAGTTTAAAATAATCAAAGTAGCCGCCTCAAGTGCCATCGACTTCGTAAGAGATGCTTAGTAAATCAGTAGTAGAAAATATTGTGAACTACCAATGTCGCTGTCAGCATAGTGTGACTACGTAGATTACAAGGTTGTAACTTCACAAAGGCATCAACAAGAAATCGCCCTGTTCGCATTTTAACCACAAGATTTCAATATTTCTAAATAAATAAAACTGCAGTTTTGAGGACAAAGTGAAATTGGAAGACAAATATCCCTTCTCTGCATGCCCTCCATTCGAAATTGCTGCTGCGTGTAAATATTCTTAGTTTCGCTTTAAAATATTGTTACAAATCTGTTATCTTAAGCTAACTAACAGCAAAGAAAGAAAACCAAACGGTTTTGTAAAATTCAACATATACTTTATTTCCCGCGAAAACAAGATGAATTTTTTTAAGAAAAAATAAACCTTTTAGTATTGTAAATTAAATCTCAGATTGATCTAAATGTTCTATCACAAGTTCCAAATGAATTCCAGTGGTATTCCAAATAAATTCCAATATTTAATGTGTTGATAAACCTGTGGTCTCAAACGTGCTAATGTGCCAAAACACTGGGGTGTGATGATGTGCTAAGTCTTTCGATATATCACAGTAATATAATCCAAAATGTATTTGTCTTAAATTAACTATAATTCTATAATTCCAAATTTCTGTTTTAGTCTAGTAATGTTATTGAGCACTTTTGTATTCCAGTGAATAATAATTTGAATAAAGAATTCAACCCAAATTAAAAACTGAACACAACTTTAAGAATGATTCTACTTCAGATTTTAAGCCAAGAATGAAAAATTTTTTCAATCAAACAACATTTCATAAAAGGTCCCAATCAATAATAGAACCAGGATATAAGTCAGTTTCCTTTATAGAACATTCAAAGTTGTCAGCAAGTTTAAGAAATTCCAAGTGGAAAACTAATATCCTAGATTCAGATTCAAAAAAACATGTTTACCTCCAGTGTTAATATATTGCTTATTTAATATATAAACTTAGAGAAATATTAGCGATGTACTATGTTGTTTACAAAATATATGTATCCAGGAAGGCACAACTTGGTATTAAACAAGGTCAAGTACAAAATACAGCTGTACATAACATATAAACATTAAGAAAACACATCAACAAATGCATACACCGCAAAGGCTTGTTTACCTCCATATCACATTCGATTGCAAGTACTGGAGGGAGATAATAATAGCAACGATGAAAGCAAAACCGAATAGCTTGTGCATGATCAGGGGTTTATAGCTCAGCCAAGACAAACAACAAAAGTTAATCATTTACCAATGCATACAAATATGGGTGTATCAACACGACAAACTAACACGTAGACAACAACATAAGGCTAATCTAGTCAACCACTTCAAAAATAAAAAAGAAAAAAGAAATAAACAAAGACTGAAATCGTCGTTGAAGAGAATATGCACAATTAAACTTGTCTTTGGCACCTTGCTACTAAGTCTTGGAAACTAGTGAGTAGCGAATTTAACAGCAGTAAAGTTCGGATCTAAAACGTGTTCATCGTTTTGGCACCTTGCTACTAAGTCTTGGAAACTAGTGAGTAGCGAATTTAACAGCAGTAAAGTTCGGATCTAA